ACCAACAGCATGTGAGGAGATTTCTATCCGTTGAACGATGAATACTGTAGCTAATTCGTAGGGGCAGCAACGAATGATGGAAAGGTGAGCATGAAGACAGGAAATGATTTCGGGCACAGACAGGAAATGCGTACAACTGGCAAATGGAATTTTGCCTTTCGTTCGAGAGCCGACAAGCATTTCGTGGAGGGTGACATTGTCACGGACAGACATGGAATCCTTGTCCCTTTAAGGGCGAATGCCGAGAACGATCAAAATCTGAGAGTGGCAAGTTCATTTAGCCGAAAATCGGAGAGTGGCAAGTCCATTTAGCCGCCGTGGGCATGGACAAAACAAATAATGACGGAAGTGCGCGATGCGAAGGCAATACTTCTTGTCATTGACGTTTAACAGACGCGTATGCCAAACACGTGGTTTATCTCTAAACCTGATGAAAACTGTTACAAACAGCCTTGCTCAGTCAAGTCTGCACTCGCATTGCTACCCTTACTGACATTAGGGCTCTACTATCCCGCAGCCTCGGCTCCCTTGGCCTTTTGGGGTCTGCCTTCTCGATTTTGGTAATTGCAGCTCTTTATGTACTCGGACCATGGCCCCTTGAGATGTGCGGCTTTAGCTTCCTTAAAGCAGGCCATCGGTCTGTAAGGGAACGGCCCCAGTTTAGAACATAGGTAGCTTGAGTCAGAGCTTCCGAAGGAAGCCCCTACTCTCCTTGTGAATAATCGTTTTATCCAAGTCGCATTTGACCTTGCTCGTGCCCTTGTACCGTCACACGGTCTTGGTGGATTTCAGATGAACCTCATCGGCCCTTTTGTCGCACTTACCCCTTGTGGCGCCAAACGAACCCATCCAAGGTCTGATATGTGACTATTGGAGTCTCTAGCCTACTAATGTTGGCACATGACATCTTGTGAATTTTAACGCCTACTGGAAATCATCGTTGTCGTCGTAGAGCTTCTTAGTCCTCGTCAACTGGTGTCCTTGCTTTGCGTGGCATCCAAGCGGTCGCCGATCACTGATTCGGCGCCACGCTTCACTAATAAATAGGCGGAAGGGATCGGTCGATACTGCATTACCTCGTGGAAGAGGGAGATGGCACGTTGATGGCCTTGCTTGTTGCAAACGGCAAATTCACACCGGATCTGGAGGACAGAACTTGCGGACGCCTTTGTCGTGCGCCGCGCAAAGTGGACAACAGGGGTGGTGAGGTTCGTCCTAGATCGGCCAGCCACAATATGGCTGGGGTGGCCTAGAACTGGACAGTAGGATGCAGCCTTAGTTGACCCCTGTGAGCGAAGTAGTTGAAAGTATTTTTGTATTGGCTTTTTAGCATGAACAAGTTATCAGTAAGTTAATAATATCAACGCCCAGCGAGTCACAAACTTTGGAGCACCCTGATCCGTGGGCAGCAGGTCACAAACTTTGTGGCACCCTGATCCGTGGACCTGGTATTTTTGTAAATTTTATGGGTATCTTCGTCCAGCTGCCATTGACCACTCAGGACCGCTACTCATGCCGCCTTCCATTTTTTTGGAACCCGCACCAACCTTGGTCCTGGACACCTATAGAACTGTTAAACGTCACAGCGCGATGAAAGAAGCTGTTAAATTCTTCAAATGAAGGCTGGCCAACCACCTGAAGGAATCACTCTGGTGGCTGGGGAGTAGATGAAAGACCTCAACGCTGCAAGTTAGGCAATGGGACAGAAGAACAAAAGACTACATCACAACATCTCTCCATAATAGTACCCGCGTATTTCTGACAGAAGCGCGTTGCTTTTGTATCCTAGAGATGCCGCCAAGGGAGGCTATTTATGGAAGGCGCAGACTGTACCCTGCACGTGATGTTGTATCCTGCTCAAAGAGACTCGGGTATGCGTACTCGATGTCTATAACAGTACCACCGTATGTCTGACACCACGCCTATAACAGTACCACCGCATGTCTGACACCACCACGATACCTTACTTTCTGCACAGGCGCGTACCGTGTCGGCCCACCGGGCTTCCAAGTCGTGATTGCTGTACACTGTCATTCCCATCATCCTGTGCTAAAATCGACTCTGAAGAGATCCAATGACAAAATGTTTTAATCCTGTAACCTGTAACAGTTGTCTCTTTCCAGAGCTCCTAGAAACAAAAGCCGCTCTGCGCATCATCGATGGCTACTATACAACATATATTTGTCAAAATGATTCACTGCGTTCAGCTCGTGTCGTCATCGTCATCGGACAAGGCAACTTCAGATTTCATGTTTCGCCATGCGTTAACCATTACGTCTCTATATATGGTCAGCTCGCCAGAATCGAATGCAGCGGCAGAGTTATTGCGGAGAGGAACCCAATGGGACTTACGGCTTTTGC